TATTAACTTTAAGTGTTGACTAGCCTGACAACTTATCTCGAGAGAGGAAAAACAGCAACTGCTGTCGAGCAGTAGCTTGGAGGGTGAAATCTACCAGGTTATTGGGTAATTCCAGGGTTCGCTTCGCCGAGTCTTGATTCGCATTCACAAAGATTCTGCGCGATTGCTGGGAGATACTTGACAGGGTACTTGTCAAGCAGACAACATTAAAATAGTGGCCTGAACAGCCGATGACGCCTTTCTGTCACCTAAACTCTGGATCGTCCTCGAAAGCTTCTAGCTTATGAACAGAAAACCAGTATTAAAGCCACCTAACTATGAGGAAACCACTGGAATAAACCTTGAGGCGGATACACGATAAGGTCGAAGGTCGAGGAAGGGGAAACTACTATCCAATGGAAAGACAGATGGACCATCTAAGGGTGCATACCAACGCGCAATTTGCCGCCTGCGGTCTAGCACAGCCCTACCTGTAATCATATCGGCGCGGCACGCCCACCGACTAGCTAACCGCTCGTCGCAGTACTCTAACCATTTTAAAGAGAGAGCATCAGCGTTGAGAGGGCAGCGCCTCTGAAAGTCTCATGAATGCGAAAGTGATTGGGCAACAAAAGGGTCCCACTTCTCGGTTTCTGAACCCTTTTCACGTTTTTTCTTCCCCCACCACTGGCCACCTCTACCAATCTCAATTTTTTTCCAGCTTTTTAGAATGCTCTACTGAGAGCGGAATTATCACTCGATGTTATCACATCTGCATCAAAATTCCACTTTGATCGAATAGTATTCAAATTGATATTTAATGGAATTTTTTGTATGAAATTTTTTGGATGACAGCGGACTCTGCGACTGCGGGCCAGTGCTAGGAAGAAGGAAGAATTTTTCGATGAAAAAATAGTACTTTTGCAGACCGGCTTGGTGCATCACACACTGCAAGGATAGAAAATCGATTAAAGCCGCCATGGACTTTCAGACAGCCGACGGTGCACGTACGTTTATTACACTGTTCTTTTGTATATGCTGAGTGCAAATGAGGGTACACCTGGAAACGGTGGATATGGTAATTTTGCAAGGTCACTACTGAAAACAAAGCAACTTGAGCTGGAGCTGCTATGAATGGATCAACTCTTTCGATCCTCAGCCCTTATCAGGACCAACAAATGCGTCCCCTTTTTCGAAGAATCTTGCGACTCCCTTCTCTTACGTGAGGCGGTAGTGGAGGGGGTCTTACTACGATCTTCTCCATTACCACCTCCCGTGATGAAGGTCTTCTACGAAGATGGTTCCCCTACCATCCACGATCACCACCCACGCTGTGACCTGACCGTATGCTCCCCAATCCACAAAACTATGAACCATTGATTTTCGAGTCATTCTTCCCTCACCATATTGGCAGCTTTTT